CATCAAGAAATCATCAAGAAAAGATAAATCTAATAAGTGTCTTTTATGTTAGAAATGAAGCATTCTGGCCAAATAGAAATACACATTAAAAATTAAAAATAAATTTTATTATCCTACTTTTAAGACTCCTACTAGTAAAACAAATTGATCAGAGGAGTATTTTAATCCCAAATAACTATAGTTTATTATAGAACAAACTATAATTAGCTGCCTCATATGCTTTTAAAATAACTTACTAAATTATATTCAAAATATGGAGTGTGGTGTAATAGTTGGTGACATTTTTGAGAGAAGACAGACTGAAAACAAACAAATCAAGATCCATATTAACTTAAACAGAGAATCTTCGTGTTTTAGAATGTAAAGAGCATTCAAATAATTACCAGAGATCTAATTCAGAGTCACATCTTAAACTACATATTCCAGGTGACAAAGACAGACTAAAGTTTCATTAAACAAATCAAGGTTCCTAACTTTCCAATCAGTGTTTTCTCTACTCCACCTTAACAAAACCTTATTTACAAAAGTTTAAGTTAAATTGGTAAAAACAGAAAAAGACACAGGGTTTTATATAACCATATTTAAGGAAAAGATATTCAGGTATTTAGTTAATATCTCTAAGGAAAAGATACTATATAAGAAATCTAGTGCTACATCCTGTGGTCCAACACTTCCAGAAAGTCAAAGATCTAGATAGATTAAAGGACTTGAATCTCAGAATATAATGAACAAATTATACAGAGGAACACACACAAAGTACTTTTATCATTTCAAGAGTTAAGCATAAAGAAAAAGAGCAACAATTTTCAATCAAGCTATAAAAGGAAAAAGAAGAATAATAACCTGAGGCTGTGGAAGCATCCTCTAAAACACAACGTCAAAGTATTAAAAAATTAATCTCATGGGCCAGGAATTTAGCTCAGTGGTTCCGCCACATGCCTTGCAAGCACAAGGTCCCGAGTTCAATTCCCAGGACCAAAAAAAAAAAAGAAAATAAAAGAAAAAAAAAAAACTTTTAGTAAAATTTATCCAAGGGCCATAAGTTCAATTCCCAGTACTGGAAAAAAACATTGCCCAACAAATGAAACATTCAGAACCAACAGAGATGCACATTTAAGTTTTATAGAAAAAAAATAACATGTAAATCACAAATGGAGAAATCTATAAAGATTTCTGATATTAATATTCATTATACTATCAGGTACAAAGCGATTAAGTATCCATTTCACTATCACTCACCAAATATAGGTAAGCGCTAACTATACAAAACACATTATCATAAGTTTAGCTTCAGAAACTCATTTATCAATTATAGAGATTCCATCTCAAAATATAAAGACTAGGGACGTAGCTCAGTGCTCTCCAGGTTAAATTAAAAAAAAAAAAAAAAAGGGAAGAAAGGAAGGAAAACAAAACAACACAACACAAAAGACAACTTATACCTGAGTTCATAACATCAAGACCAGAAAAGACAAAAGGCAATTTTTTAAAGTAGTCATCATGTGCATCTTTATTGCTGATTAGCAAATGTTCTTATCTATCTCGGGCTATAAAATGATAAATACCATTTTATAACATTTTTTAATTTTCTGAATTAGCTATATCAGCCATAAACCCACAATCCAAAGATCACTATAAATGCACATCTAGGTACAAAGTTTATGCCACTGAAATAATGTATCATATACTACATTTTATGGGTTTCATTCTAATGTATTTCCTATTATTTAATACTGCTTAAGGACTTTAATAGTCACAAAAAATGCATTCCTAGGATCACTAGTCTTTTTTCAAAAGAGACAAATAACAACTATTTTAGGCAACCCCACAAGCCACATTGTCATAACTAGTCAACTCTACCATTAGAACACAAAAGCAGTTATGAATAAAATGCAAAGAAATAAGTATGTCTGTCCAATAAAACTATATTTACATAAACAGGCAATAGTACACTCAACAATAAAACGACAATTTAAAAATGGAGAAAGCATTTGAACAGTCATTTTTTTTAAAGTGCTCAATCATATTAGCATTATCCACAGGATCCATACAATGGAAATAATAAATGCCCATCAACTGATGAACAGATAAACAAAATATGGTATATCTATACAATGAATATTACACAACAATAAAATAAACACTAATGCATGCTGCAACATGGATGAACCTCAAAAACATGCTAAATCAAGAGACCTGTCAAAGAAGACCATACACTATTTAATTCATATAAAATGCCCAGAAGAAGCAAAGTTGATTAAATCCGAACACAAACTTGATGGTTCTCAATCTCTTTTGAGTTTGTAAGTCTGTTTTAAAAATCAAATCTATGAAATGAGAACCAAGACCTGTCATGTAAAGGTACAAGATCCCAATAATGAATGTAAATGTACTGTATACCTAACATGTACCAATAAACTCAATAAAAAAAAAAATCAAATCTATGGAAGCACTCAATGGCAGGGAGAATGTTTTGTGTACATTTTCAGATTTGTAGGCCCCTGATTAAAAGCCCTATTCAACACTGTGAGTTGAAGACAGGTAGTAATGTGCCTGTCGCTTTTCACAATGTGTCTCAGACAGCATAGAAAAAATATTTTAAAAGTATCTGAATGACTGGAAACAGAATTTTCTTGAGATCAGCAGTAGAAACAGTAATGGAGGTCCCAGTGAGACACATAATTTTATACGAATAGAAAAGGGCAAGACAGGAAAGTCATTTACACAGAAGGCACAAACCAACAAATATTTAATGAATCTCACTGTAGGCTAAGAGCTTTACTTGATATTGTTTTTTAGCCTCAAAGCCTTTAAAGAAGTTATTACCAGTTTTCGGTTTGCCAAAAACTCAAAGCCAATGGCCAACCAAAAATATAAATTCAGATAAATCTAAGTTGGATGAACTCTGGCTTTCCAGGTAATCACCCAAATAGTACATCTGGTAGCACAGACTATTAAAGAAAAGAAAAGAAAAAAATATGAGATGAAAAGAAAAGGTGATTGGGGATTAAAAGCAACGAGATCACAGGAGGAAGAGCAGGAACTGAGATTAATAACCTAGCCCATAATACAGCAGCCAGCTGGTGGGAAAGGAACACCAGGCTCTCAGACACACTCACATTTCACTCTAGCTCTAACTCACTGGTCAACCCCAAACTAACCAGGTAACCTTTCTGGACATTAGCTACCTCATCTATGAAATCATGATTGTTGGATGGCATCTTTATGCCATTTTTAAATTCCTTCACAATTCTCACACTAGCACACATATTATTTTTGTTTCACCTAAATGAGCAGAAACTTTGTTTCACTCACTGCTGTAACCCCAACACCTGGCTGGTACAAAGTAGGCTCAAAACAGTAGTTGAGTAAAAATATGAATTTGGTCCAACAACAAACCTCTGAGGGATGCAAATAAGGCAGATATTATCATACTTACTTTACATATGGGGAAAACCATTTTCAAAGACTTTAAAATATTTACTCCATAATACTTGGTTCCACAGCTAAGTGACAGATCCAGAATACAAATTTAAGTAGTCAAATTACTAATTTAAATATCTTTCCAGGTCTAAATTTTGTTACATTTTAAATCACTTTGAACGAATGAATTCTTATTACTACTCCTTTCTGTGAAAAATAATCATTACGATAGTGTTATCATACAATGCAATTAATGACTCATTATTTAGGAGACCTATCTGAAAAGAAATAACATTCAAAAATGGTGAATATGAGATACAAGAGATAAAATCCAAGATTTAATATTTTGTATGTTTCAAAGTGACTCCATCTGTAACTCTTATTGGCTACTTTGCAAAGGCTTGGTCCTTACTGTAATAAATGCAAATTTATTTCTATAATTAAGTGTACTTGCAGTTCAAACCATAAAGCTTACACAGTGTCCCTTGATGACCTGAGGATGAGAAATATATTCCATTGCTCTCTCTCCCAGACCCCAATTTAAAGTTTCAGGATCAATTAAGTTATAGAGGAAAAGTCCTGACAAAGTGGTGTAAGATGAAAATATGTGGGCACAAAGAACAGAAACAGCACTAAGGCAAAGCTCTATTCTCACAGACTCTCCAACTCATAAATTATATTCATTCTAACAATCTAAATGGAAAGGACGAGAGGTTGGTTGGAGACAAATTTGAGAACATATACCTCAAGAACACAGGCTAGTAGAGAAAACTTTGTTGTGTATTGGACAGTAAAATCAAGGGTACAAACTTCTCCAAACCAAATCCTTTCTTTCAAAAAATAATTTCTGGAGCACCTCTCTTCCCTTTCATTTAACACTGCCATTAAATGGCTTTCATATACACACACAAAAATCAAAGTCAATATTAACTTTGATACACATGAAATGGCTCTCTCCCTCTCCCCTTAATCAAGTAGTATAAGCACAAAGGTATTTGCCAGAATATTTTTATCATATGGGAAGCCGTACATATTTGGTATATGCAAAGTGAGGATTTTAGCATATTTCAACAAGAAGCCAGCTTACAACCAACTAATCAAATATACATCTTTTCTTAAAAACAAACAAACAAACAAAAACTGAATAGTCTTCATGGATTTATATTCCTTTGGTTTCTTCTCTTCTCATGAGGACTTTCACTAGGTAGGCGAGAACAGTTAAACTGAAACTGCAGTGAGGAAGAGTAGTTACACCAAAACTGATCTATTCCACAGCACCCTAATAAAGTAAGAATATCTACAGAAGGGGGTGAGGTTTTACTAAGTGGAGTAAAAATTTGAAAATCGCCTATCTAGGCCTTGTATGCAAAAAACTGATAGAAAGCAAGGCTTCATCAAGACAAATTTCATAAAAACCTCAAGACTAGGATTTCAAGTTTGTAAGGGTCCAGTTCTGAAATTTGGAAGTTCACACAATATAATATTCAACTTACCTTTTAATTAACAACCCTTTCCCCAATTTAAAAGGTACTTTCCCTATTGGAATAAAGAGCATAAATACAATGCAGCAACCTTACCTAGTAGCAAACTGAATGAGTGCATTTTGAAGAGTTTGCCTAATTTCAAGAAGAAAAGATTCATCATCACTTAGTGTATAATACCAGTACTGGACATAATCTCTCAAGGAAAACTGGATAACCTATAATAAAAATATTGGAAAAATTATAACTTGTTAGGATTCAGAAAAAAACTGGCAAATTAAAAGCACAGATGAATATTAGCCAACTTATACATTCATTTCATCTTAAATTGCAGTAGTAAATACCTGCCTTCATTATAAAAACATCAATATGCTAAAAGCTATTATTACAAATTTTTTTTAAATTTTTCTGGTATCCCAACTCATTCACTGACCAAACCTTTTAAACATTAAAACATTACCAATGGCCAAAACCAACAGAAATTCAGGTAAAGAAAGTTTAGAGGAAAAAAATAAATGCTCAGTTCTGTGCATTTAAAAAGAGTTTTAAGGGGCCAGGGATTTAGCTCAGTTGTGCCACACCTGCCTCACAAGCACAAAGTCCTGAGTTCGATCCCAGGTACCACTGAATAAATAAATAATTAATTAATTTTAAAAATACAAAGAGTTTTAACCAGCTGATGAAGATACAAAATAATGCTAATGGACACTAATTTTCAAAACAAAATTTTTCAAAGATCATACCAAAAGATCTTTTGGAGTCTTAACTATAAAAATAATAGTTCATTTAATTCTTCTACTTTTAATATAGCCAACAGTGTTCAGTTAGTCTATAAATAGCAACTAATACATTCAATGTATAACTTCTACAAATTGGATAAAATATAGGTTTACTTATGAAAATAAGTATTAAAATTGTGAAATACACATTAATTACAATGATCATATAATCAAACATTATCAAAAAAAATTTTGTGGAGGAAAAGATCTGATTACAATTTTCAGGCACTTTTTAATCAAACCAAGTATTTCCATTAAAAAAAAATTTAAAAACTAACAAAAAGAGAGTCTGATTTGTTCAACCACTAAGCTTATTCATCAGCAAATTATAATTTTATACTTTAATGATAAAATTATGAGAAACATCATCAAATGTCACCAAAACTGTTTCTAAATGCATTTTTAATCAAAAGGGTTTTATATTAAATGAACCATCTCATTAGAGGTGCTTAGAACTTAAGACAGCAAGGGCATGCTTGTACTTCAGGCTGAGGCAGGAAGATCACACAGGTCCATGAGTTCAACATCATCCTTAAATGAATAAATGAATGAATGAACAAACAAATGAACAAATAAATGAGGCAGCACCTTGAAGTACAAAATCCAAGAACAGCATTATCATAAAATTTCACCAGAATATTTAAATAGCAAAAAGGTGTATCTTAGTATTATCAAAAGAAATATTCTTGGCACACAATATATGAAATTCAAATACCACATACTGAAACTCACTTGCTGGAGAGGCTCATCAATTATACTGGCACCCGTTAATCTTCGATCAATCTTAATAGTCCTGGCTTCCCGTTTCATTTCTTCTAAGCACTTAAAGAAAACCATAACATTTTACTGAGCAGTTTGATTTAAAAATCTTACCAGTTTCCTTCAAATCGAATACTCATTTTAACTTCCCTTCACTATTCTTGTCAATATAAAAATACCTTTTGAAACTAACATAAACCAAACATGATTTTTCAAGTTAACAAAACTAGACACTTAGAAAACAAAAATCTATACTACCTTCAAAAATGTAGTCAAATAAGTAGATATTATTTAGGATGTGAGAAAATTTAAAAGGTACATGTACACTGTTGCCATATTAAATGAAACTTCAAACACATAAAGTGAGTGCTTCAGGTGAATCAAATCAGTAACTGTCTTTACTGGACCCTGTTCCTCTTCTACCACTGGAGGGATTCTAGAAGCCACTGTACTGCAACCACAGCAGGTGACAGCTCCATGTGTGCTACTGTCACTGAGGATCTTATAGGCGGACAAGATACAGAGGGATAAGACAGTCATTGATGAGCCTGAGTCTGTGTAGGCCTAGTTTAATATAGGTGTTTATACTTTTCTGTTTGTGTTTTAAATTAAGTATTATTTCAAAAGAGTCTCTGAAAGATTAAAAAGTTTATAAAGTAAAAAGGTCATGGTAACCTAAGTTAATTTATCACTGAAGAAATAAAAATATATTTCATAAATTTAGTGTAGCCAAAGTGTACAGTATTTATAGACTACAGCAGGGGTACAGCACATTCTAGACTTTCACATTCAGTCACCACTCACTCACTCACTCACTGACTCACCCAGAGTAAATTCCAATCCTGCAACCTCCATCTTTGGCAAATGCCCTATATAGGTATGCCACTTTTTATCTTTCAGGCTCTATTTTCCATGTTTAGATATGCTTAGAAGCACAAATATTTACCATTTTGTTACAATGGCCACTGAATTCAATACAGTCACATACTAGATACACAGGTTTGCAGTCTAGGTGGGATAAGCCAGACTATACAGACTAGGTGGATAGTGGGTTATACCATCGAGGTTTATGTATGTGTAACCAGTTGTGTCTACACATCGATGAAAGCACCGGGAGATGCGTTTCTTAGAACACATCAAAATAATGTATGACTACATGTAAAATATATGCTTCAAGTCATAACATAAAACCTCTAAGATTTTCTTCATAAACATAGAGATATAATCAGTCTTTACTATGATTTATTACTGTTTAGGATCTTAATCAAAATATTTCCTGTTATGCTATGTGTCACTCAAATAAATGTACAATATAGATGGCTAAGAAATGTTTTCCCAAAAAAGGCCTACTCCCTCAGGCTTGGAAGCAAACCCAAAGAATAAATATTAGCAGAAGTTCTAAAGAGAGAAAAAAGTTTCAGATTATTCGACAAGTTGAATTATAGAACATTAGTTTATCAATATAGAAGTCAATAGGATGGAGTGACTACAATGCAAGACAATATTTAAGCAACCTACCTCTGTATCTCTTTTATCTTCATATATGATGGGATATTAAAGCCCCTCCATCAACAACGGGTCATTTGTTCTCTTCATATCAGACAAAACAATCCATCATCCCACAATAAGAACTGAAGATATTACATATTTGAAGCCAAATTCCAATTTTACTTATAAAATCTGATACTTTAAAAAAGGCATCATTCCAGATGATAAAAATCAGGCCTCAATTATTTTAAAAAGATATATATCAAGGTGAATTTTTAAAGTATATGTTTTCTATGTATGAGCAGAAAATTTCCCATCAATTTACAATGAATATTATTAGTGAATAACAGAAAAGTGTGTCAAGACATATACGGATGAACACATCACACTATCACTGCAAAGAGATGAATGTTGAAGTTTCACATTTCATTGCACTACTTACCTTAGGAACCCCAGATGATGTTGGAGGAAGAAATGAGTGTTCACACTGCTCTAGGTACTTTTCTGAGTTTGTTTTTCCAAACAGGAGAGTAACCACTAAACCCCTAGAAAGGAAAATTATTTATAGATATGAAAATAAAATATAATATTTCTGTAATTTTATACATCTACTACTTGGCATATTTTTCATATTTTATAGCTTTTTGTTCACTAAAAACTTCATTCTGTAACTTTGGAAAAGCATGAAATTGACAGATTATGTTCTGAAGTTTGAAACAACTAATAATATTTTATGAATTATATAATGCCTTTCAAAGTTCTAATCTTTTCAATTTTTTTTTTTGGCTTTTGAGACAGGGTCTCACTATGTAGTTGAAACTGACCTGGAACTCACTATGTAGCCCAGGCTGGTCTCAAACTCACAGCGATCCTCCTGCTTCAACCTCCCGAGTGCTGGGATTACAGACATGTGCCACCACGCCCGGCTAATCTTTTCAATTTTTAAACCTTAGAAAAACTAGCCCTCAATAAATAATAAATAGACTAGCTAGTAATAAGGATAATAAAAATGACATCTAAATCTGTAGTTAAATAATCCAATTCTATAATTCTGTTAACTAATGTATTACTAACATAACAAGTTACTGTGGCTACAGAATAAACAAAGGCTGTCAATAGAAAATGATCAAATTCATGAATTGTTTTAAAATAAGGCTGGGGGTCAGGGATCTAGCTCAGTGGTTCCGCCACCTGCCTCGAATGTGGAAAGTCCCGAGTTTGATCCCCAAAAATAAAAATAAGTAAAATAAGGCTGGAATTGAGAAAATAAATATAAACATATTTCCAAAGCTTAACTGTTTTTTTTAACAAGGAATTAGATACTACTTTAGACCTACTACTAATATTAACTAAATGTTAACTATTGACTAAATGTTACGACTATTTCCTATATATAAAAGTTGCCAATAAACTGAAGCTCTGGAACGAAGAAAATTAAACTTTCATCGTACAATAAGTGCATATTAATCTTACAATGATTCAAAGACTCCACTGACCAAAAAAGAACAGTGAAATACTAAATGGACAAAAAGGAAGAAGATTCTCAAGGTCTTCTGCTTTCTGCCATTACCTGACATTTCAGTGATGTTCATGTTCAAAAACCATGAAAACACAGATAAAGTCACATTAATTCATGTAATTAATTCTAGAATTTTGGTTAAGAGGCTGACTTCAGAATAATCAGTACATTTCACCTATCTCTGATTTATCTGATTATTACTATTGAGATTCAAGTTGGCCCTTTATTTGTTTTATCTGGTTATTAAGCATATTCAAAAAAAACAAAATACTTAAATGTCATCATGAAATAGACTGATGAAACATTAACCTGTGCTCATAATACCACAGCAGGAAGGCATTCAAGGCACAATTAAAAGTTACAAAGTTCCTAGTAGTTTGTTGTGAATTTAAGCACAAAAGGTGCTAGCAATGATTACATAACTCCAAAATATAAAAGAATGCCATAGCCATGATAAAGTATGACACTATTCCACAATAAAAACAAAACATTTTTCTTTCTAAAGTTTTCTTTACATTAAAAAATAAGGGATAAAGGCCGGGATTTAGCTCAGCAGTTTGGTAGCCTGCCTTGCAAGCCCAAGGACCCAAGTTCAACCCGGTCGCCTTTTTTTTTTTTTCTTGTACCAGGGATCAAACTCGGGTCCTTGTGCTTGTGAGGATGGTGCTGGAACCACTGAGCTAAATCCCTGGCCCAAGGATTAGTTTTGTTTTTTGTGTGTGTTTTTTGTTTTTTATTGAGTTTATTGGTACATTTTAGGTATACAGTACAGTTACATTCATTATTGGGATCTTGTACCTCTACATGACAAGTCTTGGTTCTCATTTTTTCCCCTTGTCCCTGCCCTCCCCTTCACCCCCTCCTCCCCTCCCCAGTTACAAACATTTTATTTCCATTTTTTCATTTTCTCATATTTTTTTCTTTTCCCTTATTACCTTTCCCCTACCCTTCCTACTTTCCCTACACCTTTAGCCCTTTTCTTCCTAGTTCACATTGTCAATTCCAAGGATTAGTTTTGACTACAAAAGTATACACTATCACCAGGCATGGTGGAGCATGCCTGCAATCCTAGGACTTGGGAGGCTGGCTGAGGCAGGAGGATCGTGGTGAGTTTAAGACCAGCCTGGGCTATGTAGTGAGTTCAAGTTCAATCTCAACTTGGGCCGGCGAGTTGGCTCAGTGGTTATGCTGCCTGCCTTGCAAGCACAAGGGCCCAAATTCGATCCCCAGTTACACACACACACACACACACAAGTTCAGTCTCAACTACATAGTGAGAGACCCTGTCCAAAAAAAA